AAAAATAGGTCTTTCCTAAGGTTTTTCTGCACTGCTCATGAATTAAAACCAAATGCATGCATATACCAAAAGGCGTTTTAAAAAAGAGTAATATTTTTCTGAAGCGTTACTTGTTTTTCCTTTAAAAGTAAAAGTGGTCTCTTTTAAGGCTGGTTGGTTGGTTAAACTGATTTTGAATAAGAAACAATTTAATTTTTGTAATCCATACTCCACTGCTAATCTTTGTACTGAACTTCAACCTAGCATGAGAGGTTTGCACAAAAACTCAAGAAGAAAATACAAATCACTATGTGGATGGGGAGTTTTTTACACTTCACACTCGTGTTTTCAAGAAAAGTCTCACATTCTTCTTGTTGCATTTTTAAATATTTCCTGTATAATAAAAGACACTGAAACATTAATAGTGTAAAACAAAGACTTCTAAAAATGTTGTTTCAAAGATGCCTTTTTTTGAAAGGGGAGAGAATTGTTTGCACTGGATCTGAAACCCACGTTGAAGGAACATTCTTATTGAGAAGAATTATTAAAAAAATATTTCCAGAAGTTTTCCAACAGTAAAACATTAAATGTGAGCATCTTGAGGAAAAAAGCCAATGATAGGAAGATAATTAGTTAAAGGTATTAAAATCGTAGGTCCCTGCTGTGTCAGACTGCATTATCAATGTTTTCTTTTTTATAGTTTGAACGTCAGTAAGATTCTGATTGCCAGATATTAAAAAAGAGCAATTCAGAGAGGAAGTACTTACTTGGGTTTCCAGTATATTGGTTGTTTTGTTGTTGATGAGCAATCCTTGCAAAACCCTGCAGATTTGAGATTCAGGAACCAAAAGTATGGGTGATGAAACCAGCAATTCCAAAAAAAAAATTAACAGTTCGACGAAAGAGAGCCTTTTAAAGCCAGATGTCAACATACTAATTTTAAGAATCAGAGAGTCACAGAATTGTTTAGGTTAGAAGGGCTGTTTTGAGATCATTGAACCCAATCCCCCTGCTCAAACAGTTCAGCTAGAGCAGATTGCTCAGGACCACATGCTGTTGAGTTTTGAGTCTGTGCAAGGATGGAGACTCCACAACGTCTCTGGGGAACCTGCACCGGTGTTTGACCACCCTCCCGGTCAAAAAGTTTTTACACGTGTTCAGATGGAGTTTCATGTGTTTTAATTTTTGCCCATTGCCACTAGTCTGTCAGTGTGCAGTACGAGGAGGGTTTGACTCCCTTGTCTTCATGCTTTCCCATATTTTTAAACGAGAATTAGAGAAAATTTAAAAAGACAGGTTTGCAATACTGTCTGAGTATATGTTAAATATAGAGTATTTTTGATGTATAGACGATCATTATAGACAAAAGTAGCTTACATAGGAATGTAAACTTTCTTTGAATCTTCATGGTAAGAAATTATATGTATTTCAAAACCACAGATCTTTAGCTCTAAACCCTCATTATTAATTAACAGGAAACACAGCCATACCTTTGGATAGTGGTACTACCGAAAGCAATTATAAAGCCTTTAGAATCAGTAACTTTACCATCATCTGACTATAAATTGTTCATTTTAAGCAGGAACCAATCCTACTGTAAGTTTCCACAGATACAAAGGTTGGTGAAGGACTAACAATTTCTGAGGCCAGTGTGTCAAAAGCAATAGTCTTTCTGTAGCCAAATTGTGAGAACAGTTGCTCAGGTTCTGTTATATTTTTGCTTTTATTTTATTGCACTGCCTCTTCTAATTTTTTTTTTTAAATAAACGCCAACTTTTAGCCAGCATTAAAAGCTAATGCCATAACTTTCCCCGTGTTTTTACTGAGTTAAATACGTCTGAAATGCTTGTGATAGATTGTGAATCGTTGCACTATAAGTGGAGTTTCTGTTAATTTTTAGTACTGTGCCTGACTATAGTGTCCCACTCTTTTAAAATACATAAAATTGTTTTAAAGTGTCATTTTTAAAATTGCATTTTGAAAACTAAGTTTACTTTAAAGGTAATAAACAATAATCGATTTTGCACTGCAGAGACTTCCTTGTGATATAAAACCTTATGACATTTTAATTAGGAAAATAGATCATGTAACTCCATAGGATGGAATAAATTTTCCTGATACTGCTGTTTTGCTATACTGCATGTTCTTCTAAATTGGCATAAAAATGCATTAACACTTGTCTAAATTAGATCAGCCTTAAAAGTTGGAGGAAAAGAAAAGAAAATTCATAGATCTTTTTGCCACTCTCTTAATCTTCAGAGAAACACTTCAAGCAGAAGTGATTTTGAAAGTTGAAAGACAAATGGTTCTGTTAGGCAACTGTATGACTGTTACATTTGTGTTACAGGCAAGGGAGAAGATAGTGATGTCCTCAGCATAAATGCAGATGCATATGATAGTGACATAGAAGGCCCATGCAATGAAGAAGATGGCCCAGATGTGCAAGAAAACACTGTCAGAAGTGGAGCTGGTCAGATAGATGACCTTCAGAAGGACATTGAGAAAAGCGTGAATGAGATTCTGGGGTTGGCAGAGTCGAGCCCAAAGGACCCCAAAGCAGCAACCTTAGCCGTTCCTCCGTCAGAAGATGTTCAGCCATCAGCACAGCAGCTGGAGCTTCTGGAGCTCGAGATGAGGGCCAGAGCTATTAAGGCTCTGATGAAAGCTGGTGATGTAAAAAAACAGCCCTGAGATTGTTTAGATTTAATTTTCAGTATTTGTTTTGAAGAATGTGATGTCTGTTCTCTTCAATGCTAAAGTATATTTGGGTTGGGTATGGCATTCCTCATTCAAACCCTATTGTGTATCCTGACCTGTGGCTTAAGCTGTTGATAGTTGGTTTCATTGCCGTTAGCGTGCTGCTTCCATGACAAGCACAAACAGAGTGGTGTGACGCTTCGCTAAGATCAGGTCTCTTTGTGGTGGGTTATCTCCTCAAGGAGTCACACAATGCATAGAGCTATGCCAGGAACCTGGTGCCTTCCAGAAAGGTTAGGAGAATCAAGTTCTTTATAACCCCATGGTTAGAACTTACCAGCTATTTTATTTATTAGCAACTTGTTAAACTGCTTGAGAAACTTGATTTGTATGTAATTCATTAAAAATACCATTTTGAAGAGGTCTTTTGTCGTGTTACTGCCTTCAGCATTCTGGGATGGGATTTGAGATTGCTTATTTCTCCTTGGGGCCTGTCACAAATGAGTGGTCCAGAGGCCGCTTAAAGAATCACCATCAAAGGTATTAGCAGAAAGTGATTTTAGTACAGATCTATAAAAGTGCGACTTAACATTGAGTTCGATGGCAAGGTTCGCTCTTACCACTTACTACATGGGTAAAGTATACCAAGGCAAATCATGTTATAATTGAGCTGGAATGATTTATACAGAGACCGAGGACGAAAAGGGTAATGGAGAACCTGATCGACAAGGTTCAGAGAAGACCCGGCTGGGTCCACTCCTACTCCCAGACTTGGTCAATGGTTTATATCTAATACAAAAAGGGTAAGAAGACCCTCCCACTGGGTCACGAGATTCAGAGTAGACCCCCCCTTGCTTTCTAAACTCCTTCTCAGAGAGGAGTCTAGGTGCAGTTGGATCTACCCCAGTCTCAGACTTGGTCAATGGTTTATGTCTAAGGGATTATGTGTTCAGCAGCAGTCTTAAGGTTCATTCACAGTTTTAAGGTAGATCACAAGATTTTAGCAGCACTTAATCATTAACTAATTTAACATTTACAAAGTAGGTTGTTAGAGTCAATTACAATCATGACTGACTTAATTATAGGTTATGCTTACCAGTTCACACACACAGACACACACAGAGAAATATATATAGATGCACAAAAGACATACCTGTTAAAAATTCCTCTCCAGTTCAGTGAAGTACTCAGATCAAATGTCTTGGCATTTCTCAACGGGCGAAGGGTTGGGCCTCGAGGAGTGTTTCAGCCCAGGTCCCGTGCCAGTCGGTGACGGTCGTCCGAATATCACACTCGAGAGTTTGCGAGCTCTGAGAGACGTCCCACGCTGAGGGAGATGCTGGGCGCAGCCGGCTGCCATCCAGGAGACCTCAAAGGGTCTCACCTGGGACCGCTGTCGATAGGTTCGATAGGATAGATGATTGGCTTTAGCCATCTGTAAATTTCCACCCTGACCATGGTCCCAGGTGGTAGTTACTAACATTCTCAAGGTTTCAGTGTTGTTCCACTTGAGCTATGACTCAGATAAGGGTATCGGGATGACACCTGGGCCAGGCAGTAGGACTACGTTCCCAGCCTCAGCTATGCAGAGTTTCTGATACGGTCAAGGAGCACTTAACTGCCAGACTCTGTAACCAAGGCCAGGGTTTCACGGGAGTTTCTGAGATGAACAAGCGGCCCAGATCAACAGGTGGAGAGCCCAGGAGAAGGGGCGGAGGGGAATGCACCACCACAGGGCCCAGCTCATCATAATGTAGCTATTCTAGTTAAAATAAACGATGATTCACTTAAAAGCATACTTAATTTTTAGAAAGTAGACTTCTTAAAGGGAGGGATTTTTTCCTTTCAAATAAACAGTTGAACCATGTTATTTTCACAGTTATGAAAGTGCCTGAAAGTGGCAAATACCAGAGTTTTGATACTGTTGGTTATTTTTGTCACTCTCCTCTGCTGTTTATCTTCTGTGTCATAACTGAAATAGAGAGTTTTTCCTTGACTACGAAGGTTTTTGTTGAATATTTGGCATAATATTTAGGGCAATGCAGCAAATCAGACTATTTAGAAGACCTTGAGTTGTTAACATTTAACTGACATAGTCATTTAATGGCCCCAGAAAATAGCAAAATCCACTTAATTTCAGTATAAATGTTTTTTAGAAAAGACATTTAATTTGTTCATTATACGACGTTTTAAAATAATAATTCTGCTTTTATCCATTTAAAGGGTATTTCTTTGTAAGTAAATTGTATTATAGGATTAATTTTCCTGCTATGATTTCTTACAACAGTTAAAATAATTCCGATTTTGTTTAGAATTAGTGCTGGTTTTATACTTGGCTGCTAATCAAATGCATGTTAAAATATTTCTGCATGTGTTTGTTTACATACACACACACACACAAATCGATTTTTTTTAAGGTATGAAGTTTAGGAATGCAGTCCTGGTAGAGTAAAATGATGTGATGTATACTGTTACTCCTGATTTTCTCTTGGTTGTTTCTTAGAAACCAAATTTGATACTTTGCAACATAAATAATTTTCACATGCTATTTTGTGATATTACTGCAGACCTTGTTCTATTCAAATATTAGGTCTTGCATTCTCTTGCAAGGTCTATAATTTTCTTTTTTTCTCCTTCCTGTCCTTTTTTCCGTTTATTCTCTTTCTTCCTTTTCTTTTTTCACCTTTTTTCCCCCTTTCCTTTTAACCCCTTTTCTACCCTTTTCCCTTTCTTTGTGGCATTGTCTTTAGTAGCAAGCCTCTTACGTATTTCTTAAAGTGTGATTGATTTCCTCTAGAATCAACAGTATTGTGAGTAAAATGGCAGCAAAATAGTGCAGTGTAAATTTGATTATGAACTAAAACGTTCATTAAATACAGCTGAGAAAATTACAGTGTGCGTTCACTAAATGATGGCAGTGACCTGAGTAAATTTCACCTGGCTGTGATCAGTTATCCGCAGCAACAACAATTTTTTAGCAAATGGAGGATGAAAGTTAGAATATATATATCCGATTCAAAAGGTAATTTAACTGTCTCAGAATACGTGTGTGTTGTCTTACGTTAATTTCATTTGGCTGTTGGTGAACTTGTGATTTGAGTACAGAAAAACAAAAGCTGGTGAGAGAAAGACAGTTGGCAAAACCTGGATGTGCTGTCTTGTTCTTTGTAAAGTCATAGGCTAGTGGAACTAAGTTAGACTGTAAAAAGTTTTACTGTTCCTATGCTTAGATCCTTAAGGCACTGAATACCTCACGTTGCCTGCTGTGGAAACGAAAAAGCTCACCTGCAAGGACATTTGCTTCCTAGTCCTGCTGTGCAACCTTGTGTATCTGGACCAGTAGGAAAACTTGTTCCTTATTGTTTGCCTCTCTTCTTTCGTGTCAAGGTTCATTTGGCAGTTCTACAATCTGCCATAGCATTGATGAGGCTTGCAAAATCCCAAGCAATATGAATAAACAAAAATCAGTCCTTAATATTGAAGAAAAATGTACAATACAGTAATAGTTGATTGATAGGACAAATGTTTCTAGACCTGTATCTGTCCTTTTTTTACTGGTACTCCCAACACCTGCGGTTTTATCACCAGCAGAGGTGATTCCTTGCTGACTGCATACTCCTGGGTGGCTCCCATGTATTTCTGCCAACAACTTCCCAGCAAAAGGCTACTTCATGCCGAAGCTGTGCCTTGATAAGGCAAAAAGATAGAAAAGCTGAATGTAAATCAGGTTTAATTAGACATACGTTTCCTACGCCACCAGAAGAACTGATAGAGTCAAATGTACGAAGTCCACTCAGTGGTGTTGCAGAACGATACATTTGCAGTTGTTTGGCAGCAAGGAAATACTGCTAGAAGTAATGATAAACTAGAATGTAGCTCTCTTCTACTGCCTTCTATTTGCTGGAGATATATGGCATTTATTTCTGAACTGAGCTTCATTTTCGTATTGGTTTTCCAGGTCACCTTTGAAAGTTCATTTTGTAGTGTGTTGAACTGTCAGTGGTTATTATTTCAAGGTCTGTATCAAGAAGTTGCATATGCTATCTTTAATATGTAGTGTGACAAAGATGAAACAGGTTTACTATGCATATGACAGAGCAGATTTGTAATTACAGACCAATTAAATTTGAAATTAAAAGAGGAGAAGGATTCCAAGAAAATTAAATTAAGCTGTTTACAAAAATAAAATAAAATATACATATATCATAAGAGAGACTTCATGTGATTGATTACACAAGTGCTAATTCATTTTTAAGGTATTGTGCTATTACTGCTTAGGTTAAAAACAGATCAGCTAAATTGTATGGGTTCCTGCATTGATTTGTATCACCGCACAGTTAAAAAAATTCAGTGTATTTAAAATATTTATTATACAACTGTTTGTTGTTCACTTTTAAATATCTCTTTGCTTTTTTCTTTGAAAAACAAATTTAATATTTCACTTGGAGGAAGAGGCAATTTGTATGTAAAATGCAGTCATGAATTATTTATGAAACCTTAAAATAATTTTACCAGTTTTTGATCAGCTGCTTTGTTGGGAAAAAGTATTATACACTGGCTGTTGGTCAGCATGAGGAAGAAGATCCTGATTATATTCTGGACTGCAACAGAAATATTTTCTAATAAATTTTGGCTGTCCTTATAGATGAAGCACAGTGATTTTTGAGGAGAAGGGTTGATTGTGTTTGTATTAGGTAACTAAAAAGGTGTGACTCCCCAGAGAGCCAAAAGTATCTATTATTTCTGTTTAGAGGCTTTGATACTATTTTTATGGTGATTTCATAGAGAATAATAATTAGACTTCAAGATGCCACTTTTGAGAGACAAATCACAGGCATTTCCTCAGAAAAGAATTAGTCCTGTTGGCAACACTCTTTTCATTGCAGTATTTGCTCTCAGAAAAATATTTTGCCTAAGAGACTTTGTGCCTTGCATAACTTCTTTTTTTAAGCTATGTTATAAAATATGTTCTTTGCTGTTTAAAGTTACTGTGATTATTAATCGCAGTGAATGGAAGTTT